TGGAAACACAATCACTTTCACAATTCACAGCACTTCAAGACTTTTCAACGAGGTGACAAACACCCATCATTTTCCCACTCCAAGGAAAAGAACGTTTATCAAGAGCAAGAGAATGATTTTCTCGGACTAAAAATTCACTTTTGTATTGCTAATGACACCATACCAGTTATTAGGGGATAGGGCTGGGGGAAACAAGATACTTAGAATTTTTCGCATATTTTAATAAAGAAGCATTAAAATGCTGCGTTGCTATCGAGTATTTGAGTCTATTTTAAGTATCTGAATAACGCTACGATTCTATTAAGCAACTTAAGTGGAAAAGAGATGCTGACAAAGAAACTGAAATGTAACTTCCCAGTCAGGTAAACCAAACACGTCATAAGAGGAAGATGAGGAAAAAGCACTGCTCAACGAAGATCCCACACGCGTTGTGTCCCGTAGGACCCCCGAATCTTTACCTCGGGAATGCTTGATTGAGGATCCCTCCACCACCCTTAAGTGTTGTCATTTCTAGCCTGAACTAATTAGGGTTCCTCTAATAAACCAAAACCCAGCGAGCGCCTCACTTCCCAAGCGCGCCCTTCAGCCCCAACAGCCCACTGCCTGACTGCCAAGCTCGCGCGAAGAAAGCGGGGACAGCCCTTGGGCCGGGACCTCGGCGAGCAGAAAAACGAAAGGCAAAAGGGCTGACCCCAGCCGCTTACCTGGTGGAAAAGCTCGAAGAGGAGCTCCTCAGTCACTTTAGTCTCAAGGTTGCCGACAAAGAGAGTGCGGTCCGCTTCCGCTGCCGCCGCCCCCATCTCAGCGTCGCCCCCTCCCTAACCGGGCCGAAGGGTCGTGGCCGACGCACCCACTGCGCACTCTCGGAAACCCCACGTCCTCGCGCTCCCAGGCGTCACCGGCGTAAACGTCTCTCGCGCTCGCTCTCGGCCCGCGTCGACGTGCGTGGGCGGAGCGCTCGTTAAAGGCGGCTTCTCCATCTGCCGCAACTTTAGTTATGGCTTCTAGCGTAGGTATTTGTGGCGTCCCAAACGGGCAGCACTGATCTGTGGAGCCGCGAAGGGCCTATCTTGACTGAGGGACGTAACGCAAGTACTGCGGGCAGTGTTGGAAGATGGCCCTGAGCAATGTGTTCCTGTGTGCCGGCGATCAAAAGAACAGGATGGCCTACCGCGCTTCCCACGGCGACCTCATCCGCTCGGCTTCAGCGCTGGCGATGGTCTCTGGAGACGGTTTCCTAGTTGCCAGGCCTGGGGCGATTCATCTGGGACTTCGGGAGGCGGTGCGACAGATTGTTCGAACCGAGAGTCGTCGACTGACTGGTGGCGGCCGGAGCCTGACCCGCTTTATAAAGGGGCGGGAACCAGATAGTCGGAACCGAAGCCGCCAAGCCAGATTCTCGCCGTACCCAGTCCCTGGGCTTAAACTCGATCTCCTAAGAAGTGTGCTGCAACAGCGTTTGATTGCATTGGGAGGTGTCATCGCAGCTCGCATTTCAGTTTAAAAGGAACGCTCTCTCTCCGCCCCTCAATTAGCTTGTGAACAAGGCCTTTCTAAAAATCCTTTCTTGGTGTAACAGCAGTCTTATTTTTAGAGGGATGTATTTCTATTTTATATAATACATAGGAGTACTGTCAGTATATCTTGGCACAAAGGGGAATTTTACTGTTGATTCATTCAGGTGGTTTTAGGCGGCCAGAATGATTGGATTAGGAAGGAGGTAAAAGGGATTTTCTTAAGTAGTTATTAACAAAGCTGAGTTGATGGGACCACCCTCCCCAGGGGCTCACCTTTTGTTGACATCTTTACAACAAGAAATCCAAATTTATCCCAATTTCCTCAAGTCTTATCTCCCCTCCTCAGCCTACTCTCTCACTCTGAGACTTGTAATTCCAGCTTCCTTAACTGCCTCCCCTCTTTATCTCACACTCTTCCCCTTACCTTCTGTTGGTGAAAAAGAAATGCTCCTTTTTATTACACTGGCTTATCCTTCCATCTTTTACCCAGCACTTACCGTCTTCCATCTCGCCCTTCACTTTTTTCCAGGAATATCTTCAGACTCCAGTCTCCATCACACTAAAAACAAGAAAAAAAAACACAAAAAACCCTGAAACCTTACAGTTCTTTCAAATTGTTAAACCACTTTACATTCATTCCTTTCTTCGCCGAAGTCTCCAAATAAATTTTTACTTTATATTTGTAATTTTTCTATTTGCATTCAATCCCACCTTCTTAATCTGAATTTGCTGTCCCAAAATACATTGGTTGAAACATTAGACCTACAGTCTTCTTTCAGAAAACAGTTCATCTACTCACTGTAGCATTTCCCTTGTAATTTCTTGTCTTTACTCATTCAACTATTCAACAATATTTGGGGGTCTTCTCTTTGGATAACACTTGACACAGTCCTGCCATCAAGGAGTATGTTCTAGATGGGGAGGTTCTTCATTAGGTACAATAATAAAAATAAGTACGGGGTTGCAGTAGCTTTCCATAATACTGCACTATCTTGGTTCCCCTAGCTAGTTTATCACTCCTTATTTGCTGATAATTTTGTTCTCATAACTGTACATTCCCTGAGGTTTAAGGGGTGGCATTAAGGGAAAGTTAGCGGGTTTTGTAAGTGCCAGCTCTTATTGTAAGCAGTTAGACTAGTTTTTTCCCAGTGGACTCTTTGGACTTTCTTAAAATGTTTATGTTCAGATAAAGCAAAATTGCCACACCACACAGCACTGAATTGTGAGAATCACATCTTAAGAATGTTGATAAACCAGATAGCTTCCTATAGGAGAATGATTAATATAGTGAAAGGTCTAGAAACCAGGTCATAGGAAGAATGGTTGAAAGAATAATAATAGCTATCTTTTATTGAATACTGTACGTAAGTCAATGCACCACTAGGGCTTTATTCATTGTTTATTGAGACTTATTCTGTGCCTGCATTAGGCATTTAGAATAAAGTGGTAAACATGATAGATAAGATCTCTGTTCTTATAGAGCCTTGTTTGTGTTGATTCTCACAGCAGCTCATAAGAGAGGTGTACTTTCATTTTGTTGCTGAGAAAGTGAGCCTGAAGGAGATGAAGTAAACTTAACAAATGTCATACAGCTAGTGAACGATAGAGCTTTGCAGCCTTTCAAATGAGTTTCCTCATCTGAACATAAAAAATGATTTGAGTAACTATTTTCTCAGTTTTCCCAAGGATAATCTATAGCCACTACTATTTCAGATATCTAAAAAGTTAGTTCATATTATACAACGGATGCCTTAGCCTGGACATTACAAAAACGCCCAGTTGAAAAAGGAATTCCAAGCTGTATACTATGAGTTTTAGGCTGGGGAAGAAGAATAAAATTAAGACTGAGGCTAAGGAGAACTTTCTTTAAATTTGGAGATGCCTAATAGTGGAAAATACTATCTCAAAAGGTAATGAATTGCTGTCAGAAAGTTCGAATCGAGGCCGAATCATGTAAAGGATTTTGTCAAAATGTGAAATAGGACTAGATGACCTCTTTGGTTCTTTCCCATTTAATCTATAATTCTATGCTTTAAAAAATAAACTTGGTTAAAATTGGAAATGGGGAGTTAGGGGATGCAAAGAGAAAAATTAGGTATGATACAGAGGGTGACCATCAGCAAACCAGGGCGCTTGAGAGTGGAAGAGGATGCTGTCAATTATGCCGAGGTGACAGGCATAAATCGGGGCTGTCTTAGGCAGACCAGTTGGTTCATAAAATCATCACCTATGAGATGATTCAGTTTTAAATATTCCTTTGTAGCATATTCCTTAGCTTATCAGGGAACAGAGGAGGAGATTTGTAAACAAAAGTCTGACATAAGAGTACACAAAAGTGCGTAAGAGCAAGGGAGGACCAAGTGGGAGTGACTTCATTTCTGTTCTGGCATAGGGTCATCAGGAGTAGGGCTTTAGTTAAATAATAATGTACGTGCCAGAAAAAAAGAAAATGGCTTATTGTGTTTTGTTCCGTTTGGCAGAAGGAGAACCTTGTTCACAAATGCTCTGTTATTTTAAATCTGAGTCCATGGATATCTACATTCTCCTTGTTCTTAGTATCTGCAGTAGCATCCAAGTTAAAACATGTCCCTCAAGTTACAAAGACTTTATTGTAGAAGCAAAAATCAGTATAGATGTCTTTCAGTGAAATTGAAGGGTCAACTAAGTTTTCCCAAGAGCAGACCACATTATTAAAAATCCATATATTATTGCACAAAATGAATTTTTATTTAATATC